ATATTTACTATTCTTTCTGCACTTTGGGATGGCTTGTTCCTGCCCTCAATAAGGCTTCTTTAAAATACAGCCAGCTCTCTGGAACTCCTTTCCCCCTCATATTAGCCTCCCAGGGGATCCTGCCCATCAGTTCCCTAAGGGAGTCTAAGTCCAGGGTCTGTATTTTGCTACTCTCCTTTCTTCCTTTGGTCAGGATCCTGAACTCAACCAGCTCCTGGTCTCTGCTGCCTAGGTTGCCACCCACTTTTACTTCCCCTACCATTCTTCCCTGTTTGTAAGCAGCAGGTCAAGAGGAGCACGGCCCCTAGTCGGTTCCTCCAGCACTTGTACCAGGAAGTTACAGGTAATATTATAACCACGTTGAGGAACTGTTCTAGAACTCTAAAGGATTAGCATAGAGCAGAAGTTTCTGCTTGCATGGCTGTTTAAAAACAACAGCATTGTTATTTTTTGTTCTCTGCATTGGAGCACAAAACCATGATACCTATGACCCATATGAGGAAACTGTTTTCAAACAGTTTTAGCTATGGTTCCCGGCCTAGAATCCTAATCTCTGCTATGGCAGAAGACTTTTGGAGGGCACAATATCCTGAGTTCAAAAGTCAGTGTATCAACTTGAAGTTTATTGTATGTTTGGGTCGGAAGCTTAAAGCTACTATAACAGAAAATTCGTTATGGAAACACTTGGAGAAGTTATGGGCAAAATATGGATACTGGAATTCAGATGTAACTCAAAATTTGATATACCGCTAACCTTACACTTGAAGGGAGATTTATATCACTAATACTATGTATCAGGGAGAGAGGTTTACAAGTGAGAAATATGACTGTTTAAATTCATGCTAACTGCATAACATTTTTAGAGGTTTTTTAAAGATTAAAAAATTGTGTGTGTTCTGGACATAATCCACTAACAGCTCATATTTGTTTTTTTATGTAAAGAAACTCTTTTTTACTTATATTCTCTCTCTCTCTCTCAAAAGGTTATAAGAGGACATCTTAGGTCACTTGTAAACAGACAATAAAAGACATCAGCAACAGACATCATAGTTTTAATCAAAAAGGAAAATGTGAAAAAAATGATACCCTAAAGACTGAAGCAGCTCCCACCTTTGTCTAAATTATGAAAAAAAAACCTAACTGTGCATTTTCCTGAGTTGCACTCAGTGGTTATATACTTAGGAGTAACTGTTAAGAATAATTACGAGAAATTGTAAAAGCCAGAGAATACATTTACAGCGTACTCTCACTGGGTTCTCTCCATGGAAAGACAGAATGTGGGGTGGGAAAAGAGTTTTATGTCCTATGCATCCTTGATTTACTGAGACCTTCCACTTTATTCACCAATACCCTTGGATCATATCTTGTAACCGCCATCCATCTGGTGGAAGAGAACTGGATGGATCTCCCTTTACAGTTCATTAGTGAGTGGAGATAAGTTAAACAGATCAAAATAGGTGTTGTAATGGCAATACCCAACCCCAATGGCCCCTGCATGCACAACATTCAGGACAACTTCAGGAGCAAGAGATTGTTAAACCCTAGATCAGTGGTCTCCAAACTTTTTTGATCATGCATCCCATCAGTAAAAAAATTTTGAGCACGCACCCTCTGCGCGCCGCAGGGCCGGCTCTACCATTTTTGCCGCCCCAAGCAAAAACAACAAAAACAAAAAAAGCCACTCGGACTCCCACCCGAACTGCCGAAGCAAAACAAACAAACAAACAAAAACGCCCGAACTGCCAAAGCAGCACTGCTCCATCAGCGCTCCTCTGGTGGCGCATGCCGAAGGATCCTCTTGCGCGCACCCCACTTTGGAGACCACTGCCCTAGATGTTCGTGAATAACAGCGTCATTATGGTACTATCCAATTGTTAATGAATAGGGCCTTATCAAATTCACGGTCCATTTTGGTCAATTTCATGGTTATAGGATTTTAAAAATCGTAAATTTCATGATTTCAGCTTTTTAAATCTGAAATTTCATGTGTTGTAATTGTAGTGATCCTGACTCAAAAAGGAGTTTGGGGGGGGGTCACAAGGTTATTGTAGGGGGGATTGCCGTACTGCTACCCTTAGTTCTTAGTTGCTGCTGGCGGCACTGCCTTCAGAGCTGGGCAGCTGGGGAAGTAAGGATGGCATGGTACAGTAACTCCTCACTTAAAGTCGGCCTGGTTAATGTTGTTATGTTGCTGATCAATTAGGGAACATGCTCATTTAAAGTTGCACAATACTCCCTTATACCGTTGTTTGGCAGCCGCCTGCTTTGTCCACTGCTTGCAGGAAGAGCAACCCGTTGCAGCTAGCTGGTGGGGGCTTGGAACCAGGGTGGACCGGCAGCCCCCCCCAGCAGCTCCCTTCTCCCCTAAATTCCCTGTGCAGCAGCTGCCCAGCAGGCTACCAATTGCCGGCGGTTCAGCTGTCCCCTGCCCTCTGCCTTGGAACTGCTCCCCGGAGCCTCCTGCTTGCTGTGCGGGGAGGGAGAGTGAGAAACTAATGTCAGGGTGTCCCCCTCCCCCCTACTCCTGCCCGCTTACCCCTTCTCCATATAAAGCAGGGAGAAGACACAGCTGCAGCTGCTGTCTCCACTTCCTGATATTTTTAAAGGCAATGTACTTAGAATGTGGTGTCAGCGTACTTAAAGGGGCAATGCACATCTCTCTCTCTCTCTCTCCCCCATACACAGGGTGTGTGTCTCTGTCTGCCATGCTGTCTCCCTCCCTCCATTCGTGCTGCCTTGTAGAGTATGAGGCTACATTAACAACGTGTTAACCCTTGAGGGCTCAGCCAAATGCTAGTTCATCATTTAGCAGTAAGGCATTCCCTGGGAAACATCCCACCCTCTAACTTCACCACCTCACCCAAGCTTCACAATCATCATTGCTATGTACAGTATTAAATTGTTTGTTTAAAACTTATAGTGTGTGTCTGTGTATTTTATATATATATTATATATATAAAAATAAAAAATAAAATATAGTTTTTTGTCTGGTGAAAAAAATTTCCCTGGAACCTAAACCCCCCATCCCCCCTATTTATATTAATTATTATGGGGAAATTGGATTCGCTTAAAGTCGCATTTTTCAGGAACTTAACTACAATGTTAAGCAAGGAGTTACTGTATGGTATTGCCACCCTTACTTCTGCGCTGCTGCCTGTAGAGCTGAGCCGGCAGTCAGCAGTCACCACTTCCCGGCCACCCAGCTCTAAAGGCAGCAGCGCAGAAGAAAGGGTGGCAGGGTATCGTATTGCCACCCTTACTTCTGTACTGCTGGTGGTGGGTCGTTGCCTTCAGAGCTGGGCATCTGGCCAACAGCCGCCATTCTCCGGCTGCCCAGCTCTGAAGGCAGTGCAGAATTAAGGGTGGCAGTACTGTGACCCCCACCCCCTCCCGCAACTCCCTTTTGGGTCAGGACCCGCAATTTGAGAAACACTGGTCTCCTTCATGAAATCTGCATAGTATATGATAAAAGCACACAAGACCAGATTTCATGGTCCATGATGCGTTTTTCATGGCTGTGAATTTGGTAGGGCCCTATTTATAAGACATCAATATTTAAGTATCTTTTTCCATACAGATTGTGAATGGCTAGCCAACTACAAAAGCAGTTTCTCCTTCCTAGGTGTTCACACCTCAACTGCTAGATCCTCCCTGATCTCTAAACTGATTCTTGCCTGCATATTTATACCTGCCTCTGGAAATTTCCACCACATGCGTCTGACGAAGTGGGTATTCGCCCACAAAAGCTTATGCTCCAATACTTCTGTTAGTCTATAAGGTGCCACAGGACTCCTTGTTGCTTTTTCCATACAGTAAAGATATGCTTGCCAAAGGATTTTTTTTATTAGAAGAGAGGGAAAACAATGATGAAAACATTGTGTATTTTTAACAAAAATAACTGAAACACTACATGCCTAGAGAGTCACAAATTGGGTGTGTTTAAGAAGCCTGCTATGAGCGACAACTCACATGCTAGAATGAAGTTTAGCAGCTATGTCAGATGCCTGAATACACAAACTTGCATGTGAAATGCTGATATAGGTGAGCTGAGAGTCACAGAGCAGAGATAAAAGTGATGCTTGTGGTTGGGTGTTATCAAAACATCTCCTCCCTGATGATAAGCAGGTCTCTATTGACAACAAATCTATAAATCATGAGCAGTTATCACATAGAAAATTTGTTCTGAGCAGGGTCAACTGTGACAGAGTTTGTGTTCCCAAGCTGCAGATGTGGAGAAGGACAAGAACAGTCAATAGATTCCCAGCTGATGTAAACTGTCATTGCTCTGTTGATTTAAATGGAGCTATGCCAATTTGCACCAGCTAAGAATGTGTTCACAGTTCTGTTCTCTTTTCTACAAGAACATACACAAGGTTTCAACCAGAAACACAGTCCAGAAGGGTGGACAGGCTAATAAATCCAGAATGCTTCCACTTTGGAGCAGTCCAATTTTTTCTGGCTATAGAATTTACAGCCTCCTCTCCCACCTAAAATGTAGTGAAGATAAAGGCTTAGATTTTGAAACCTCACCAAAGAAAAGTTTTTTTCCCAATGAGATGGAGAATGGTGCCTTGTATTCTAGGATTTGAACCATAGCTCCTAACAGTCTCTAAACACATTCCGACATGGATGAAGGCTTTTCTTTTGGAAACACAATGCACTAGATGCTATGCCCCCTGTGCAGATTTGCGCCACTGCTCAAGAAACCACCTCAACAGTGGTAATTAAGACAGCTACCATCGGATTTAAAATCTCCTTGTATTGGCAAAGATTGTGGTGAAAATGGTGTCAAGACAGCTGGTGTTAAGAAACCTCCTAAGTCCTCATCAATTCTATTTAAGACTTATGACAGAGAGGCTATTGATATTTTTGGTGGTTGTGCTACTCCAAGCGATTACACTTTCACAGAGCCCATGCTGATTTTGTTAGATCTGTCAGCAACATCGGATAGCATCAACCCTAGGGAAACTCGGTGGATGAAATAAAATTATTGGACCAACCTCTACCATTGAGAGAGGCAAGCTTTCATAGAACTCTTCTTCATGTCTGAGAAAGGTACTCAGAGAGTTGATATATGTTTCAAGAGGCTGCTCAAGGTGAAGTGGGCAGTTAACACCTCTGTAATTGCAGGACAAAGGAGGGTTGGTAGGTTACAGTTTGTTGTAGTGAGCCATAAATCCAGTGTCTTTACTGAGTCCTTGATTTTTAGTGTCTAGCATCAACAACACTGCAATCAAGCAGGTGGTGTCATGTATCACTTCCTCTCAAAGGGCTCTCAAATATTGGATACCATAAGGTTCAGTCTTTTATCCCTCCCAATACGTAAATGCTACAGATGAGATAGTGAGGGGTTACAAACCGCAATGTCAGTGGCATTCAAGTGAAACTTCATTCTACATCTCGTTTCACTCAACTCTGCTGCTTTTGTGCTTGTGAGGCTTGTCTCTAGGTGTGACTGAACCAGGACAAGACCAGAAACAATGCTGCTCAGTCAGGGAGTTTATCCAGAGAAGCGGAATGGGGCTCTTTCATTTTTAGAGTGCGGGGCTGTCCCTTCTCAGTCCAGCCCAGCCTTGGAGCCGCATCAGATCCCTCAGCACAGCTAGATATGCAGGTAGTAACGGCCCTCCATGCCAAGCCAGGCCAAAAGACTACCACATCTTCTCGCCGCTGCTACAGCTCTACCTGTCACTGCAGGCTACTCTACTGCAAAGCGTATTACTTGGTGCGGTTTCTGATGACCCCGCGGAGCTCGGGCGGGAGCAGGGCGCTCCAGTCGCTATCCACAGCCTCCTCCAATGCCCTGCGCCCCCGGGGTGCGGAGGCCCGGTCGCCCCGGTGACAGCTGAACGCTGCTGCCCGCGCCAGGACGCCCCACGCCGTCTGAGGCCGGAGCCTGCTCAGCTCCAGGTCCATCCCCTCCTGTCCTCGCTCTCCTTCTCGCTCCCGCCTGGCCTGGCCGCCCGCCCGCTCCGGACACTAGGCCAGTGGCGCGGGGAACCAGGGGGCCGCTGCCTGCCCCTCCCCCCACGCGGTCGATGAGGGGTCGTCCGGCCCTTCCACCAACGGCGGCCTAACTCGGCTCCACCCCGGGGGACCCGACCCCTCCGCAGGGAGGGGGGGTTACTCACCGGCAGACTCGGTAGACACAAAGCGACCCCTCTAATGGCGGCGATGGAGAAGACGGGGAGGGGGGTGGGCACAGCCGCACCGCAGCCAATCGAAGCCCCCGAGCACCTTTCGAAAGCCAGCACGGCCCTTCCGTCAGAAGAGCCCTGAGTTGACGGCCAATCAGCGCCGCCGCACAAAGCGCAGGCGCACAACTAGGCGGGAATCAGAGCGCAGCGCAGGGCAGCCCCCAAAAAACAAATCGGGAGCGCGCGGGGCAGGGCGAAGTTGCGGGGCGTCCCCAATGGCGGCCGGGAGCCGGCCGGCCCCGGCCCCGGCCCCGCCCCCTGCCTCGGTTACTTCAGTGCTGCCCGCGGGGCCTGACACTTCAGCAGCGCTCGCCAACTGCCCAGTCCTGCGCAGCCGTCGCGCGCGCGCTCCCTAGAGGAGACACACCCCCTGCAGCACGCGCTCCCTGCCTCTGTTTTTAAAGAGACAGTAACTGAGACAGCCCTTGGCTCCTGCTCAGGCTGGGGCAGCCGCGCCTCAGGAGCGAGGCGGGGAAGCTGGGCCACCGCGCGGGAAGAGGCAGCAGGCCAGGCTCAGCTCAGCCAGCGCCTGGGGGTAACTTTGGAGTCTAACTTAGGGTATGTCTACACTTACCCTTTAAATCGCAAAAAGTCCCTTTTCGCAGTAAAACTGCGGGAGTGTCTACACTTGTTAATGACTTTTTGTGAAGAAAACCACCTTCACCAGAGGCATACAGCTCTTACCGCTGTTCTTTTTGTGCTGCTGTGAAAGTGAAGACACGTTGTACCAGTGTAAACACCTTTTGGCCTCTGGAGGATATCCCACAGTTCAAAAAGCGACCACTCTGGCCAGCATCTCTGCTGCTGACGTTCGCCCCTCCCCTAGTAAGCCCCGGGAAGTTTGAAGCTCCCTTTGTGGATGTGGCAGGGAAAGCAGCCAGACTGCAGGACGTTTACAAAAAATGCCCAGGAAGAAACAAGGAAGTAATGGGGCTCCTGAGACATGAAGCAGGGCAGCACTGGGCACTGAGGAGGGACCCAGAATGCCTTCCGCTTAACCCCCCCACACACACACACAAGATCTGTTGAGAGAGTTGCACTGTGGGATAGCTAGGGTTACCATATTTCAACAATCAAAAAAGAGGACGGGAGGAGCCCCGCCCCTGTCCTGCCCTAGCCCCGCCCCTGCCCCTTCCACTCCCTCCCACTTCCCGCCCTCCTCAGAACCCCCAACCCTCCCCCCCACTCCTTCTCCCCTGACTGCCCCCTCCTGGGACCCCTGCCCCTAACTGCCCCCCAGGACTCCACCCCCTACCTAAGCCTCCCTGCTCCTTGTCCCCTGACTGCCCCCTCCTGAGACCCCCCCATCCTAACTGCCCCCCTAGGACCCTACCCCCTACCTGTCCCCTGACTGCCCCAACCCTTATCCACACCCCCACCCCCAGACAGACACCAGGGACTCCCATGCCCCATCCAACCACTCCCCACCCCCTGACAGCCCCCCCCCCAGAACTCCCAACCCATCTAAACCCCTCTGCTCCCTGTCCCCTGACTGCCCCCTCCTGGGACCCCTGCTCCTAACTGCCCTCCAGAACCCCACCCCCTACCTAAGCCTCCCTGTTCCTTGTCCCCTAACTGCCCCCTCCTGAGATCCCCCCACCCTAACTGCCCCCCAGGACCCTACCCCCTATCTGTACTCTGACTGCCCAAAACCTTACACCCCAAACCCCCAGACAGCCCCCCCCGAACTCCCGACCCCCCCCCCCGCTCCCTGTCTCTTGACTGCCCCCTCCAGAACCTCCCTGCCCCTTCTCCGACCCCCTGGCCCCCTTACCGGGCCGCTCAGAACAGAGTGCTGCAGAGCAGCGCGCTCGGCAGCAGGGGACAGGGGAGCAGGGGGTGGAGCTCCAGACTGCCGGAGGCCCGAGGCGAACGGCCGGCCGGCAATCTGCAAATGCAGGGAGCGGGAGGGAGGGAGAGAGAGGAGGGGAGTGGTCTCAAGTTGCAGGGGAGAGGAGGGGGAAGTGGAGAAGGGGATCTGGCTGTCAAAGCCCCGTGCGAGTGGCACGATCCGGCCGGCTGCCCTGTCAGCCGCGCGCTCTCTGCCTTGGGGGGAAATTCGGACATTTACAAATTCCCCCCGGACGCTATTTTTAACTCAAAAAAGCCGGACATGTCTGGCAGAATCCGGACAAATGGTAACCCTAGGGATAGCTGCCCTACAGCCTACAGTTTTCAGAGTGGTAGCCGTGTTAGTCTGTATCAGCAAAAAGAACGAGGAGTACTTGTGGCATCTTAGAGACTAACACATTTATTTGAGCATAAGCTTTCGTGGGCTAAAACCCACTTCATTGGATGCATGCAGTGGAAAATACAGTAGGAAGATATATATACACAGAGAATATGAAAAAATGGGTGTTGCCATACCAACTGTAACAAGAGTAATTAATTAAGATGAGCTATTAGATGAGCTATTATCAGCAGGAGAAAAAAAACTTTTGCAGTGATAATCAGGATAGCCCATTTCCAACAGTTGACAAGAAGGTGTGAGTAACAGTAGGGGGAAAAATAGCATGGGGAAACAGTTTTTACTTTGTATAATGACCCATCCACTCCCAGTCTTTATTCAAGCCTAATTTAATGGTGTTTAGTTTGCAAATTAATTCCAATTCTGCAGTTTCTCGTTGGAGTCTATTGTTGAAGTTTTTTTGTTGGAGTATTGAACAAAAAAACTTCAAAAAAAAACAACCTTCCTGATTATCACTACAAGTTTTTTCTCCTGCTGATAATAGCTCACCTAATAGCTCACCTTAATTAATTACTCTTGTTACAGTTGGTATGGCAACACCCATTTTTTCATGTTCTCTGTGTAAACACTCTCTGATGCCTGAGGAATTGAGTGAGTACACAAACCAGTGCTTTACTGTCACCGGGTCCCTATCACTGGTGAAACTTACAGCGCAAAAACTCTAAGTGTAGACATACCCTAATGGTAGCCGGGCCCATGCGTCCCTGCTGGACCGCATCACAGTAGCCCTGTCCCTGGTGTCCTGGAAACGGCCCTGCCCTACTTGCAGAGAGCGTTTAATGGACAGAACCAGTCGGTGGGAGGGAGTAGCTGCCCTGAGACCAGGCAGAAGAGCGAGCAGGCTCCAGGCCAGCACACTGGTCATAAACTGCTGTAAGGCACATGGCAGGACCTTGTCCTCACTTTAGTGTCAATCTACAGTGGAGTGGAGCAATTCCAGATTCATGCTGAATGTCTCCCCCAGCCCAAAACTGGGGCAAAGGGCTAAATAGTGTAACATGCACTGATTGGGCATTTACTAGGCCTGAAACACCTCTAATTTATCTCTTTGGAAAGTGGGGTAACATTCCCCCCCACCCCCGATATCACTGGTGACATAAACTGAAAGCCATGGGGAGGAGGGATTAAGCCCAGTTGATAGGGGAAATACAGCTCACTTCTTTGCCTGGGCATAGAAGTTACAATAGCCACTAATAGTGTGTACATTAGCACCTCAGAGTTACAAACACCAGAGTTACGAACTGACCAGTCAACCATGCACCTAAGCTGGAACTAGAAGTAAGCAATTAAGCAGCAGCAGAGACCAAAAAAAAATAGGCAAGTATAGTACTGTGGTAAATGTAAACTACTAAAAAAATAGGGTCACAGTATGGCTATAGTACTGCTGTCCCCACAGCTGTATCTGCAGTAGAAGTCTGGATCAATGCATAATGTCTTGTGGTGTATATGGAGCTCCAGATCACCATCCTACATATGCCTAGAAAAGGTACATCTCGCAGAGATGCTGCAGAGGTTACTGGAGATCTGGTGGAATGGGATCTCACCCCATTGGGGGTGGAGGGAATACGAGCTAGTTGGTAACAAAGGATGATGCAACTTGAGATCCACTTAGAGCAGGGGTTCTCAAACTGGGGGTCGGGACCCCTCAGCGTGTTGGGAGGTTATTACATGGGGGGTCGTGAGCTGTCAGCCTCCACCCCAAACCCCGCTTTGCCTCCAGAATTTAGAATGGTGTTAAATATATAAAAATGTGTTTTTAATTTATAATGGGGGTCACACTCAGAGGCTTGCTATGTGAAAGGCGTCACCAGTACAAAAGTTTGAGAACCACTGACTTAGAGAGTCTCTACACAAATAGAGCTTGACCCCTTGATCACTTTGCTATGGTAATAAAAAGTTTGTGTTTTTCTAATTGCTTTTGTTCTCTATAGATAAAATGCCAGTGCCTGTTAGATGTCTAGAGAATGGAGCCCTCTCTCCTCGTCAAAGACATACTGTTTTGGAAAAAATACCGGTAAGTGGATGGTTTAACTCATTTGAATCTCCAAAGTTATTTTAGGGATGAATTTCCAAGTGGGAGAGAGGGGCAAAGAGACACCTTCTCTTTATGAAAGATGGCATATGGCGGCTCTGCCATGAGTACTCCCAGCTCGCCCACCCTCCTGGCTCATGTTATGGCTACTAGGAAGGCAGCTTTCATCAAGAGATGGGATGTAGAACCAGGTGGCTAATGATTTGAAGATATGTTTGGTGAAAACCAAAAGAATAAGGTTGAGGTCCCATTGTGGTGTTGTTTTTGCCATTGGTGGAAGAGTTTGAATAAGTGTCTTCAGGAATCTAGCCATTGTGGGATGAGTGAAGATAGTATGGTCCGCAAATGGAGGATGAAAGGTGCTGATTGCTGGAAGATGTTCCTGCAGGGAACTGACTGAGAGCCCTAATGTCTTAAGGGTAAGTAAGTATTTTAAAATAATAATGATCCCATGGGACTCTGGAGGTAGCTGATGCTGTTCTTACCAAGAGGAGAAGCGCTTGCATTTGGCCGAATAGCATCTCCTGGCAGAACTCTTCCTGCTTTGTTGGAGAATGGTTTGAACAGCCACTTAACATGAACACTCTGTGTCTGATGCCCATCC